TATTCTCAAGCACAACGTTAAACCCAATTTCACCTCACCTCACCTCACAAACCACGTATCCTATTCTTGGCGAAGGAATTTGCCAAAGGGAAATAACTCTGCACTGCAAACTGTGGCACCTGCCACAACTGGACCACCTGGTCATGCACCCCTATACCCATTCTACACCTATAATGACTGTTACCTGTAATCAGTAATTCATTGCACACACATGGGTTACAACACTAGGTCTGTTTAGATCATTTTGCCCACTTTCCCCATTTCATAACAGTACCCAATTTCTGAGACACAGGAATGAACCGTCTTCAGTTGTTTATCACATTATCAACCTACTCACACCTTTAGATGGTTGGAGGCATATGATAATGTTTGACACCCTTTATACATGGGGGATCTTTCAATAATGATGCTGAGTAAACACATCATAATAGAAGGCTCTGCGTATTATTTTTACTTTTTTACATTTTTGAAACATAAATTTTCAACATAATATTACCCTTGAAACCGAAGACAAAAAGGACAAGATAAATGTACAAATGACGCTTTTATCGCATACATAGGCTATACCGCTTATATTCTTTATTATTTATATATTAATGCACGACGTTTAATCATTAAATATTATCACTCCAAATTGCTGATGTGATAAGCAGATTATTTTAATAACACATCAACAGAAGTATAATTACAGCACATGCTAATTTCATACGAGTTTTCATTTATAAATGATCAACTTTAACAATACGCATGCATCATACATGTGCACAACCTACCTGTTCATAAATGTCAGATCGCGGGCTTTGTGGTCGTGGACAAACAAAACGAGAGCATGTCCCTGCACAAAATGCACTAATATTTGGAGAAAATAAACCAAAATAACACATGTCACATAGTAATTCATTTTGTGTCAACATCGACCGACAAAGGTAGCCAGACAAAATTTACAGCATCAGGTATTCTTTCAATTTCTCTGCATCCGGAAGTTTATAGTAATAAGTCCTACGCATGCGTAGCATCGGTATCGGTCATGTGACCCGGCATACATTCTCTAGCAGACGACATTCATTCACTCTTAGCGTGACACGAGCCAGTCCTATCGTTTGAATGGTCACAAATCCCTCATTCGCGGTTTGTGTGGAAATCGGGATGGAATAAACGTCCATGGTTAAATATTTCGTATCTGTCTAAGGTGAGGATATATGTTATATGTCATGTCATATTGCTAGTTTTATTACATTGTATTACAATAATACAACAAATCAAAACTTGACAATGAGATACTCTGTAAGCTAGAAGGAGTTTTTATGTTCAGTGCTTTTAAATGGATGGTTGGACATCTGGTGAACATCAGATAATGACAGGCCCAGTTGACAGGCTAGGACAGCTCATAGAATGTTTTCAATATGGCCAACATGACAGCCATGTTTAAAATTTGGATGACATTGCTGAAATCAAAGTTTAGAGATCAGGGGAAATGGGGTCTAACATCATGCTCCAGATTGTAGCTCATATATTAGATAACTACCATGCTATAACCTCACTTGAACATTTTGAACTGTATTTAGACGCACTAGGATATGGAAACAAGACAATTTTCATAAAAGGTGGTTTACTTTTAATAACATGTGTGATACAGCTGGATGTCTGCTTGATGATAACAGCATTGGCAACTGACAGAACTGGCTAGTGGTAGCCTAGTGGTTAAAGCGTTCACACATCACACCAAAGATCCGGGTTCGATTCCCAACAAGGTCACAATATGTGAAGCCCATTTCAGGTGTCCCCCACCATGATAATTTTGATATAGCTGGAATATTGCTAAAAGTAGCGTCAGGCAATGCTCACTCACTCACTCATTTTCCAACAAATGTTATCACAATTTGTTCTTATTTCATTGGTTCATATTTCCAGTCAAGGTTATATGGTATTCACATTTGGTATAGGTGTTGTTAGGCTGACATTTAGTACCAGAAATATTAACTTATCAAAACAATGTATATCTACAAACAAAAAATATATAAAATCTTAAAGGAACCTAGAATAGTTTCATGACCTAAAGCAATCTAAAACTGATTTGGTGTCCTTCCGGAATATATTGTCTGAAGTCTAGGAGACGGACTAAGATGTGATTCTTGTCCAGCAAATACAATGTCTCTGCATACACTGGGTAATCATTAACCTTGTTAACTGACCAACCGATGCACCTCAGGGCTCCAGACAAGGGCCGTATCGGTGTATGTATGGATAAAAAATATGCACGATACGGTAGGAAATAATATAGAAACAGTAGCAGATACGCACCACAGCAGTGGTGTATGGTCGTAGAATCATTTACAGAAGTATTTATCTTAAAAAGTATTGTTTTATTGTTTTTTACCTGTTTACACAATAGTAGCAATGTCATGGTGCATAGAAACAAAACACAAGATCACATACTCCATTAAATTCAATTCAGTACTCTAAAAGTTTTTCCAGTACTCCTATAATTAAAAATAAGGAGTAATGCATCTCCTGATACTGAAAATTATCTGGAGCCCTGCACCTTATCATATAAATCTGACTTTGACAGAGAAAATTATGTTTCAAAGTTACACATTATCTGTGCAATAAAGGAATACACTACTGTCAGATTGACAATAATATATATCATGCCTGGTAAACATATGTTCAAATGACTAAACCCAAACTGGCCAATTTTGTTTGTTGTTTAATACTGTCTGAGCAATATTCCAGCCATATGATGGCAGCCTGTAAATAATTGAGTCTGGACCAGACAATCCAGTGACTGACGTCATGAGCATTGATCTACACAGTTAGGATACGATGACATGATCAAACATGTCATAGAGCCTGACCACCTTATCCAGTTAGTCCCATCTTTTCAAAAGCATGGGTTGCTGAAGACCAATTTTAACCCAAATCTTCTTGTGTCCAAACTGGCTATGTCTATAGATTTGGGTGAGAGAGTCATTGCAAATGCTACAATGAACAGTACTTCAGTTAAATCAGTGTGTGTCACATTACCATGATGTCTGATGTTAAAGTGGTCTTCGGAGTTTTACACTTTGTGAAACCTGATATTCAGGCTGGGACTTCACAAACCACGTGACCGACAAGTTACATTTTCTTTTGGATTGGCCTCCGTGGTGTAGTGGTTAGAGCGTCCGCCCGAGAGCGGAAGGTCGCGGGTTCGATCCCCGACCGCGTCATACTAAAAGACGTTAAAATATGGTACTTGTTGGTCCCTGCCTGGCGCTCGGCATTAATGGGTACAACAAGGACTGGCCGGCTCGGAGTCAGTATAATGTGTCTGAGTGGGGTATTCATGCTTCACTGCGGCATGGTATCTCAGTGGGCTAGTACTGTAAAACCAGCTTCAGTCTGGGCTAGTACAAGCAGCCGCACATACACATACACACGCATGCACGTCGCCATATGAGCGAAATATTCTCAAGCACAACGTTAAACCCAATTTCACCTCACCTCACCTCACAAACCACGTATCCTATTCTTGGCGAAGGAATTTGCCAAAGGGAAATAACTCTGCACTGCAAACTGTGGCACCTGCCACAACTGGACCACCTGGTCATGCACCCCTATACCCATTCTACACCTATAATGACTGTTACCTGTAATCAGTAATTCATTGCACACACATGGGTTACAACACTAGGTCTGTTTAGATCATTTTGCCCACTTTCCCCATTTCATAACAGTACCCAATTTCTGAGACACAGGAATGAACCGTCTTCAGTTGTTTATCACATTATCAACCTACTCACACCTTTAGATGGTTGGAGGCATATGATAATGTTTGACACCCTTTATACATGGGGGATCTTTCAATAATGATGCTGAGTAAACACATCATAATAGAAGGCTCTGCGTATTATTTTTACTTTTTTACATTTTTGAAACATAAATTTTCAACATAATATTACCCTTGAAACCGAAGACAAAAAGGACAAGATAAATGTACAAATGACGCTTTTATCGCATACATAGGCTATACCGCTTATATTCTTTATTATTTATATATTAATGCACGACGTTTAATCATTAAATATTATCACTCCAAATTGCTGATGTGATAAGCAGATTATTTTAATAACACATCAACAGAAGTATAATTACAGCACATGCTAATTTCATACGAGTTTTCATTTATAAATGATCAATTTTAACAATACGCATGCATCATACATGTGCACAACCTACCTGTTCATAAATGTCAGATCGCGGGCTTTGTGGTCGTGGACAAACAAAACGAGCATGTCCCTGCACAAAATGCACTAATATTTGGAGAAAATAAACCAAAATAACACATGTCACATAGTAATTCATTTTGTGTCAACATCGACCGACAAAGGTAGCCAGACAAAATTTACAGCATCAGGTATTCTTTCAATTTCTCTGCATCCGGAAGTTTATAGTAATAAGTCCTACGCATGCGTAGCATCGGTATCGGTCATGTGACCCGGCATACATTCTCTAGCAGACGACATTCATTCACTCTTAGCGTGACACGAGCCAGTCCTATCGTTTGAATGGTCACAAATCCCTCATTCGCGGTTTGTGTGGAAATCGGGATGGAATAAACGTCCATGGTTAAATATTTCGTATCTGTCTAAGGTGAGGATATATGTTATATGTCATGTCATATTGCTAGTTTTATTACATTGTATTACAATAATACAACAAATCAAAACTTTTGCCGAAATTGTCTGTTTGGATTTGTCTGTGTAAGATTCACACGTCAAACCATATTTTGGTGAAATTAATCACATGAAAAGCACCGACAAGCCATTAATCTGTTAATACCTACTTCTGTCGTGGATCTACAACTGTCATTGTCGAAAGCCAGAAACGGATCATTCTTGAACGAATCCATTTTTCTTCCAGGGGTTGAACAGTATGAAGTGAGTCCTCAAGAGTCGTACCACAGTCAGTCTCGAGCTGCTCGCCGATGGAAAACCCCCGTTTATGAATGGGATATTTCATTCTATCATCTGTGGTATAAATCCTTAGAACTGTACATGGCAGGAAGATAATGAAAGTTACTGTTTGGTGGTAATTACAGAGGAGGCGTGAATATCATCATGTTGGGCCTGTTTCTTCTGTTTGAACTGCTGAGACTGAGCATTGCAGAGGAAACATTTTGTTGGCTAGTGGCTGATAATGCGGAAAGTGTCACTTGCAAAGGGGAGAATATTACGGAAATTCCTAACAACTTATCAGTCAACATCACGAAACTGTAAGTAGCATTTTTCTCTTGGTAATTACGTTGCAGAATACTTTGTGCTGTGGGTGTATCCCTCACATTGATGCTCTAGGGCTATTTCACTGATAATTACACCCCGATGTTACCATTCATGATGAGAGCAAGATTTGAATCGACTCTGTGTTAATATGCTCAAGGGATTGGCGCGGGCACTAGCCTGTTTGTCCGAGACTATTAAAAGTCAAGAGGAACCAGCCATTTCACATAAACAACTTGTCCGTAACGAACTGCTTACTGAGCTGTCAGGCAAAAGAATGTAGACATTCAAAACTGGATTTGACTGAAACATTACAAATGTTACCAAAACGTTACTTTACTGAAAAGAGCCTGGGCCCATTTTGCAAATCCCTCGTAGCGCTACGACTATCGTAAGTCAATGATACAATATAGGAGGTACGGATGCTACGAGAAAAGTTACGAGATCTTAGGCTTACGAGAGCTTTGTGAACACTGATGGTCCAAAAAACACAAGTTTTGATCCCCGTATATAGTAGATCTACATCACCATCGTGTTACCATTTCCAGATTGTATTATTTTACAGAACCCTCAAACATTGGTATATGCTTAATTTGCCGGGTAGTTTAGTTGGATACAACCAACGTTGTATCAAGCAGATCGACATCACCATCGAGTAACCGTTTCCTATGTTTAGCCACCTTACATTGATCTACATCACCATCGAGTAACCGTTTCCTATATGTTTAGCCAGCCTCACACAGTGGTGTATACGGAATTTGCCGGTTATAGTTTAGTTGGATACGACCAACACTGTCCACCCTGTGATATCCCGAGCATATACCCACTGAACCTGAGAGTGTGACCGATTTCATATGTTTGTAAACGAAACTACGTCATGTTGACGAACACAGATCTCAGTATTGAAGATAAATGTTTGAAACATTGGGGATTAATCAATACTTTAATCGTTATCTTTCCTACTGATCATTCTGCTGTATAGTATGTGTTATTGATTAACTTGGGGTGTACTTAATCCGTGCGATATCTCGATTTATAACACCCAGTGTGACCTATTACATATCAGCGATTTGTTTGAATAAAATATTTAATCTCAGTGGGCGAAGAAATCCTTACAATTTTGCCATCAAATGTGAACAGCGCCTAAGGAAAGGAACGCTGTGGAGCCAATAAGTAGACTCCCGTACAGGTAAAAAAACAACAACACCTGTATACACCTGTCTTCTAAAGTTTAGGTTCTTATTAATCTGAAGAGGAGGGTGAACATAATCATTCAACATGCAGTATATATTTTCATTAACTCATGCGGTCCGGGTTAGAATGAACCTTCAGTAACCCATGCTTGTCGTAAGAGGCGACTGACGGGATCGGGCGGTCAGGCTCGCTGGCTTGGTTGACACATGTCATCTGTTCCCAATTGCGCAGGTCGATGCTCATGCTGTTGATCAGTGTATTGTCTGGTCCAGACTCGATTATTTACAGACCGCCACCATATAGCTGGAATATTGCTGAGTGCGGCGTAAAACTAAGCTCACTCACTCACTCATTAACTCATGCAGCCACGTCATTCATTTGGGAGGATATATATCCATATTCACAACGTTTTGCCTTTAAAGGTTTATACGTTTCATTGGGGTTATGGATGTATGGACAGATAAAGAATATTATAAAATTATATTATATTATATATATAGGCCTATATATAAACGTTACACGTCAATGCCAGAGAATAGCCTGGTAATTATCCGTGGAAAGAGATTTCACTAGGCGTAGAAGGCAAAATACGTGTAGTTACTGAAGTTCTATGAATGGATCCCTAATGGTTATTGAAAGCGTCCGCTCGTCACGCTGAAGACCCGGGTTCGATTCCCCACATGTGTACAATGTGTGAAGCCCATTTCTGGTGTTCCCCGCCGTGCTTGAATATTGTTAAAAGCGGCAAAAAATCATTCTCACTCACTCACTATGAATGGATCACTGAATATCAGGTTTCATTCAGACTTATTGTCGCTTTGTGATGAGGCACAGGGGCACAGCATACAGCGTCGTGTTCGTGAGTGAGTTGAGCTTGACACCAGTTTTAGCAATATTCCCGTTCGCAATCCCAGTAATACTTACAAGGGTGATGTCAATAAGCTGGCGCACTTGTATCAAAGGCAAGAGTGAATGCGTTACAATTTATCGGCACATCGGCAATATTTCAGCCATATCGTGACGAGAACAATTGATTGTTATACAAATGGTAAATTATAAATGGTAAGTTTACAATGGTAAATTATAAAAACCTGTCAACGATCAAAGGCAAGAAAAATAAAACAAATAAAATGGGCTTTCTTATTATGGATTCAGGTCTTCGGTGCGACCGTTTTGACGGTGACGTCTAATTGCTGTGTATGTTACTTGTGAATGAAAATATCTTTGAAAAATATATATCTCTATATATATAAATTCAACACTATATCCGTCCAAAGCAACACATACATGATGTGTTAGGCCATAACAGTATCTATGATTACGATGAGGAGTGCCAGCTGTTACTCCTGTAGAAACGCGTTTTAAGTAGGCTTCAGAATCAACGCTTGCCAGCGTTCATATATAACGTCTGTCAACGTAACTGTTGAAAACACACTTGTTTGTGGATACATGCATAGGGATGATCCAGACCAATCCACACCAGTGGCGAGCACTTCCTATGTGAAAAAGCATCTTTTGGTAGAGGGTTAAATACATTTTCTTGTAAAAGGGCAAGCCTACCTTTGCCGAGAATTGATGTCTTCGAGTGAGTGAGTAAGGAGTGAGTTGGGCTTTACGCCGCTTTTAGCAATATTCCAGCAATATCACTGCGGGTTACACCAGAAATGGGTTTCATACAATGTACCCATGTGGGGAATCGAATCCGTGCCTCCGGCGTGACGAGCGAACGCTTTAACCACTAGGCTACCCCACCCCACCCCTGGTTGTATTGGAAGCGTACTGTATTGTGAGGGGATTATATCGACCCCCGATTCTCCCATACTTTAAATACTTCTTTATGGTAGTATATGACGTTGGATGTCTTAAAACGATTTGTCACTGTCGTGATTGTATTTTACAACTTTCTATCGGTATAGGAGCGAGTAAGTAGGCGTTTGAATCTGCAGGCTGCAAGAGCTCTATTAACATTCACGCACCAATTTTACTTTACGGGGTGAGTGAGTGTTGTTTTACGCCGCTTTAAGCAATATTCCAACAATATCACGGCGGTGGACACCCAAAATGGTCTTCACACATTGTACCCATTTGGGGAATCACACCGCCCTTTACTTTTAGGAACACGTCCAAGGCGACGCAGTTCGAATAACGTACCGTTGTCGTGAAACTGAAATGCAAAGGTACATGTGACTCTAACATACCAACAACACTTAAAGTCGATGAGACTCTAAGATTCGAACTCGCAACCAGCGGAACATATGTATCCACTGACATACAAACTTTTGTGAGTGAGTGAGTATGGTTTTACGCCACTGTTCGCAATATTCCAGCAATATCACGGTGGGGGACACCAGAGATGGGCTTCACACATTGTACCCATGTGGGGAATCGAACAAACCTTTGTAATAAGGGTCAAATAAATACTTCCATGCTTTTTTTAAAGAAATACTTTGCTTCAAAACAAATGCACGGTTGGAACGCATAGTTTAATACGTCATTCGAATAATTTGGGTGCTCTATGTTGTTACCGAAATGTTACGCGAGCTGTTGATGAACAACAAAAAATCGAGATTTTTCCAAATCAGTATCAATACCAGTATTTGACATTCAGAAGAGATTGTGAACGTGAACTAGTTTGCTTTAGGTATTTTCCCCGAATAGTACGCTACTGTAAGAAAAAGAGTATTATACTTCTTTTCCTTTATTAATGATTGTTTTATGAATTGTTAGTGTGTTTTGACATAGGCTGGACTTGGTCACAGATTATCTATATTTTGTTGTGAGTGAGTGAGGTAGTTTAGCTTTACGCCGCACTCAGCAATATTCCAGCTATATGGCGGCAGTCTGTAAAAATCGAGTCTGACCCAGACAATCCAGTGATCAACAGCATGAGCATCGATCTGCGCAATTGGGAACCGATGACATGTGTCAACCAAGTCAGCGAGCCTGACCATCCGATCTCGTTATTCGCCTCTTACAACAAGCATGGGTTACTGAAGACCAATATTCTAACCCGGACCTTCACGGGTTATATTTTGTTGTGAGTGGAAACTAATTGGAATAGGTGAGTTGAGATTTAAGCCGCTTTTAGCACTACTGAAGCAGACAATGAGTCACGACACCAGAAATAACGCGCTTCTCACATTTTGTAAACGTGTGGAATCGAACCCGTGCCTTCAGTGGGACGAGATGATGTTTTAACCATCCGCTACCCCACCGCCGTGACTATTTCGATCAGGTGGTCAGGGTCGGATTGTTTATCAACAGGGGGCGGTGGGGTAGCCTAGTGGTTAAAGCGTTCGCTCGTCACACCGAAGATCCTGGTTCGATTCCCTATATTGGTATAGTGGTCTTCGGCGTGACGAGCGAACGCTTTAACCACTGGACTACCTCACCGTCCCAATCTCATCATTGAATATGCTGTGATCATGTCCTTGCTTTTGACAGGGCAATAGCCGCGTACTGACTGTAATGATACACTGTTTCTTTAAAACAATAATTACAGTGTACACACATTAACCACATTCAACCTTAATGATACATATACACAGCCCCTTTGAAGATTGGTGGTCAGGTTTCAATTCATGCGAACATCTCCATATGACAGCGTCGTGTTAAGTAGAATCCATTTTATGGCACAATCGGGCACCGTCGTGATTATGCGTCCGAATTATATGCAGCTCTTGGCGAACAAGGCATTTTGTTTGTGAAGCTATATTTCATTTCATCTCATTGTTAGGTACACCGATCACACGTTGTTAAGTGTAAGTACATAAGCATAAACGCGCTGTTGCTGTTGTCCAAT